GTAGAGTACAATAATTAATTATATAGTCATTCCAGAAACTAGTCCCTTCATTCTTCATGACAAACCTCTGGCATAAATCAATAGATTCAAGAACTTTGGTAACCTCCAAAACTAAAAACCGCACTGACGATGTCCATCAGAAACTGACATGACGCATGGATCGCGTCGGTAAAATCAGAAACCATTTTTTGGAATAAAAAAATAAACCATCTCATTGAAGGTAAAAATTTAAATGTTATATACAATATCAATGTTTTGGTTGTACGGGTGCATGATTCAGAGATGTGGAAAGCAAACAAAGCAATTCGTACATATTTTAGAGCTTTCAAAAAATATCTGCGAAGAATTACATTTATAAATGATATGGAATTAATTTATGACAAATAATACAGTATTTGAAAGAGCTGTGGTTGAAGATATCAACACGACCATAAGAAGAAGATAAGATATATAGACTATGTTTTGAGACTGACAGAGACAAAGAATTTATTAAAAAGTTACGGCGGGACATCATGATCTATTAACAACCTGCTTGTGAAATTGCCAAATTGTAATGACGAGTTATAAAAGATTGTTGTTGTTGTTTTTTGGGTTAGTGTTTTACGGCATAAGGTCATATGAGCGCGCGGGATTCATCAAACATCTTCAGTTGGTAGGAAATTTGGAATTTTGCCCGGGTTGCTGCCGAAGCCTACTCTTATCGATTTTGGACCACCAAGGGATCTTTAACGTGCCCAACTTGCACATGGGACCTCCGAGATTTTTTGCCCTTGTCCGAGAAGGCTAGGTGTAGATCTTACTTACCAGGGATATGGCTGAAAGACAGCAGTAAAGAGCCAAGGAGAAGCAGTAGAAAGGCTGCAGAAAGAGTCAGGGGCCCAGAGGAAGAGACAAAGGAGGTGAGGGGGTGGGGGGACAAAAAGTGGAGGCGAAAGCAGACGACAGAACATTGTTGGAGAGCAGGAAAGGACGTGGAAGGAGAACATTTTAGAGAAGAATATTTTCCGTCGCTATCCGGATTCGAACCCTGGACCATTGAAAGAGAGGCAAACACCTTAACCTCTAGGTCATGAGAGAGAGCCCCCAAAGATTGTATGTGGTATAGCAGTTAAAAGCTTCGTTGTGGTATGCAGGAGACTGCAGATCGATTCCTGGATGGGGACAACTTTTTTATCCAGTATCTCGGTCTTTCTGCTGGAATGTTGTATCCCTCTCAGTCCGGGTTGGCACTGACAGACAGAGCCAGAAGCCCGCCTCCTAAATGATCTAACTTGGGTCGATCGGCACGTAAAGACACCTACACAAAAAAGTCTCCTCCACTCACATTGGCGTTTTTGTGTCTGTCGATGAACTACACAAATTGTATCGTTCATCTTTCTCTCTCTCTCCCTCTCTCTCTCCCTCTCTCTCTCTCTCTCTCTCTCTCTCTCTCTCTCTCTCTCTCCTCTCTCCCCCCTTTCT